GGGGCTGGGACCAACAAGTGCTACCAGTTTATCAGTTGCGATGCCGATGAGGGGAAGATGCTCTTTGCAGGAGCGGCCAAAACGAGAAGTGATGAGGTTGCCGCCCCGCGCAGTTGAGAGCGGAGCTCCCATAGACTGCCCTACTCTGCGTTTATACTAAAGTGTGTATAATAGCATATCCTATCCTAAATCATATTCTAAAACACAGTAATACCTGTTACACTTTCGCTTTTGCTTCATGGCTTCCATAGTAGCTCCGAGCACAAGTAGGGGCACGCAAGGAAAAAAAAACAATTTGCATCAATTTCTTGGATTACGCCAATTGCGGGTTACATTGCAGTTAGATTTTCAAGTGCCGTTGTATTGCAATCCGCGGGGGTCGTGTAATTGGCATTGCAATTTAAAAAATACAATACTTCACTTCAACGTTACTTCCCATGTCAAGCTCGCCTCGCTCTACTTAGGCCCGTTCTTAACGGGGATTGAGATCCAAGTGGTCGCAAGATGGGTATGTTTACGATGCGGGTTGCGATCCGATCCTTCTCAACGAGATTGCGATCCAGCGCAGGTGAAGCCACTTATTGGTATCATTTCTTGAAGTTGCCGTTTTCAGACAAGACGCAACATGGCCACACTCGCACCGAGCTCGAAGTGGACAGCGACCTCCCCGCTCGACGTACGCAAGCGCACTATACGCCCGCCCACATCTAACAACTACGAGGACTAGACGCTTGACCAGCTCAAGATTGGATGTATGGCGAGGAAGCTTAATGTCCTGAAGAATACACGCAAGAAAGATCGTGTTGCGCTGCTCAAAACATGAAATACAAACAAAGAGTCCAATCACTCGTTGTGTGCAACGCAGGATATCTACAGGATCCAGTAAAGAAGATGAAAGGCGCACTGCTGGCTGTATGATTCGCCTGATAAACGTGTTGTTCTCCGACCAGTTCGAGCTGTTCACCACGACAGGGAACTTGCTCCCGGAATGTTCTCGATGACGGAGGCTCGATAGTTTGGATTGATGTGGCCCACAAGTTTGCTTACGACACTACTGAATAAGACATCTTGATTTCAGATGACACCGAATTCGAGGGCGTGAATACGACCTCGCACATGGCACATTCGGCAGTAAAATTCAAGTGGATGTGGGAGGAGGTCAGTAGCCACTTTGCTCGCGCGGAAGCCGGAATCGTGGTGTCGGGCCAAGGTAGTGCCGATTCTGGGCTTCTGCGACGGCCGTTCAGACGTATACTATCTCGACAGATGGTGCAAGCGCCGCCATGCCGGGAGTTCTGCGCGGCAAATGTGTACTCGGGCGATGACGACGATTCCACCCTAGAAGGTAACAGGGCCCAGACAAAAGCGCGCATCCGCAAGCGCCAGAGGGGAGCGCATGCAGCGAGGTTTTTCTCGCTACACGACAGAACCGATACGCTGGTTGCTTTCGATATGAGTAAGCACAAGAAAACACTAGGAAAGAGCAGCAAAGTTGTACATTCAGGAGCAGTGGGCTGCCCAAAAACATTCAATGCTGTCAGCTATGCTGGCGTGTACCACAGCAGCGATGATCGAACTGCTGGAGACACGTCGCGTCGTGTACAACGAACAAGCTCTTGATGCAACGGAAGTTGGGCGGACCCTTGTTGCATGCCAGGAAAAGAAAAAAAAATGCTAGAAGCGCGCATCAGCGTGCTTGAGTCCGGGCATAATCAACGGTCTCCTTTAGTCAATGCAGAAATTATGAAATGTCATGCATGCCTTGGTCACCTTGCCAACGTTCACGAAGTCCACAACTAGCGTGCGTTGAAAGATCTGCCACTTGTTCACAAACAAGCCGAACGCCATTTTAATTCGAATTTGTAGTTGACTGAGGTAGAAGTTGTAGTCGGAGTGTTTTCTGCTCTTCAACTCCAACTTGCTGAACGACACAAGCAACGAGTCGGACGGTGGGTATGCATTGTCGCTGCTATGGGCCTAGTGTGTGCCCGCTACTTCCTCGTACACGTGTACGAGGAAGAGTAAAGTATACTTACTTAGATTTACTATACTTTCGGCACGAAAGTATAGCTTTACTGAAATAAGTAAAACAAAGCCGATTTACGGTAAATGAAAAATGTTATTTATGCTTTAATATATTTGTTTGGTTTCCTCCTAAAAGTAATATTGTCTATGAAGGTATTTGTCAACGAGTGGTTAGCAGAATCCTCTGATTGTAACTGGTAGAAAGATGTTGCCTTTCTACCAATAAGAAGTCTAAATGCATGCAGACCAGCGATCTGCCAAATGTAACCATTGATGCAT